TCTCCATGGATCAGAGGGCTAATCTAACATCAGCACTGCAACTCTCATCCCAGAATGCCTTTCTTCTGAGGATTCTTGCTCTCATCCCAGTCTGAGCCACCTTGGAGGGAACCCCATACAGATGCTGCTTCTCTTTCTTACCTGCCCAGACATGGGCAACACACTGAATCTCCACAGAACGAAAGTTAGGCTAAAGCATTTGACAAAAACTCATTGAAGATTCCAACAGAATAGGACCCCCTAACCCATCATCCTTTCTCTCCAGGCCGTCTTTTTTTTTTTGGCTTTTTTTTGGGGGGGGAGGTGGGGGGAGTCTCAACCAATGATACTCAGTATTACTCCTGGCTCTGCATTCAGGAATTACTCCTGGTGGTGCTCGGGGGACCCTGTGGGATGCCAGGGATCAAACCCGGGTCGTCCGCATGCAAGGCAAATGCCCTACCTGCTATACAGTTGCTCCAGCCCCCATAATTCCAGTTTTAAAAGAGATTCTGAGCCAGATAACTCTACCTGGATTCTGATTTCCAGAAATTGTGACTAATAATTCTTGTTCTGAGTCATTATCTGCAGATAATTTGTGCAACTATAACAAAAAAAGAGATTTAAATGATACAGATAAAGGGCTTGGGGTAGTACCCAATGTAGAGTCAATACACATCAGCCATGATTAGTAGCACTTGCCTAACACACAGTAGGAACGAAAGCTTTGAAAGGGAAGAGACCACACCTGCTTCTTCGCCTCTGGCCTTCATGTTCCTAGCACAGGAAAGCACAGCGTTCTGCAGCCCCCAAGAAATATTTGTCAACTAAAAGAATGAATAGGAAGGAACTGCCAGAAACTTAGCTTCAAGCCAGAAAGGGGAGTACTAAGAGTTGGGGAAGCAGTTTGAGTATCTGGACTCTCCTGCCAGTCTAAAGACAGACGGAGTGAATACAAGGGCCAGGAGGATTGCTCCACAGCTGGAAGCCTGCTTCATGAGCAGAAGGGAGAAGGCAGATGGAATAGAGAAGGGAGAAAGAAAATGATGGCTTGGGGTTGGAGCAATAAAACAGCCAGTAGGGTGTTTGCCTTGCACACGGCCGACCTGAGTTCGATTCCCAGCATCCCATATGGTCCCCTGAGCACCGCCAGGAGTAATTCCTGAGTGCAGAGTCAGGAATTGCCCCTGTGCATTGCCGGGTGTGACCCAAAAAGCAAAAAAAAAAAAAATAGAAAGAAAATTATGGCTTGAGGAACCAGTTGGGATGGGAGATGTGTGCTGAAAGTAGATAATGGACCAAACACGATGACCTCTCAGTGCTTGTATTGCAAACCATAATGCTCAAAAGTAGAGAGAGTATGGGGAATTATGTCTGCCATGGAGGCAGGGGAAGAGTGGGAAAGGGGGGTAGACTGGGGATATTGGTGGTAGGGAATGTACATTGGTGGAGAATGGGTGTTTGATCATTGCGTGATTGTAAGCCAAACATGAAAGCTTGTAACTGTCTCACGGCGATTCAATAAAATTAAAAAAAAAAAAAAGACAGACCAATAGGCTGGCTCCAAGGGCAGCCTATGGGGTCACAGCCCCCTTGAGCCCAGAGACAGGCTTCCCAGATTCGGGGGATCACAATGCTATCCTTGTGTCTTGTGTTGCTTCACATCCCCGGAGGGCCCCAGGAACAATGAAGACATCAGCAGGCTTGTGTGTGGACAGAGTGGGGGGTTGGGGGGAGATGTGTTTGGCTTGGCTGGCTAACACCATTTTTCTTGACTGAGGAAAAAGATGCCAGAGGGGCAAAAAGTTAGGAGATATTTCTTACCTCAGAGACTTCTTCTCTGGGGGCCAGGTCCTGTGTGACTTGGGATCCAAGGGGGATACCGGAGCCCTACAGATACCCAAATCCACAGCTGCTCAGATGGTGTTGGAGCATTTGCATGTAACCCGGACAGTTCTCCCCCATGCTTTGATCCTCTCTAGAATACCCATACGGCCAAACGTAATGCCATGCTCTATCGTCGTCATACGGCCAAACGTAATGCCATGCTGTATCGTCGTCATCCTGTTTAGGAAATAACAATCCAAAAAAGTCTGTACACAGTTGGCACTACTGTGACCATCATAGGTCTAACTAGCCACAAGGGTTGAATCCTTGGGTGTGGAACCTGCACATATGGTGAGCCAACTGTATACAGATGCTTTGTCTTGTAGCTACACATCACCCCCTTCTATTTTAAGACTCAGCACCACAAGCTTTGTATGCAGGAGCCCTAGATACGATCCAAGCACCTCATGGTTGCCTGAGCACCCTGGGAAAGGACTCAGGGTAAGACCCAAGCTCTGCCAGATGAGACAACCACCCCCACCCCCCAAATAAATAAACAAAAGAGCGAATAATAATAAGGCTCAGCTCCAATGGCTCTGCCAGGGCACCTGTCCCAACATCCCTTGGGCGCCTGTTGTGTCCCAGGCCAAATGTCTATATCTGAGCAAGATGCGTCTGAGATTTCTCAGAACTGCTGGGTAGCAACTGTATCCCATTTGCTTCTGTGTCCCTTTTCTCAAAGCGAAGCTAGCAGAGTCCTTGCCAAAGCTGAATGCCTTCCAGAGTTCTGCTTCTGAATTCAGGGGTGGCAGCTGAAAGTCTCCAGAATGGCATGGAATCCTCCTTTCCCTGAGAAGGTGGAGGAGCAAGGAGGGGCCGTGCATGGCCCAGCCGAGGCTGAAACTCCCTGAGAGCTCCAAACCCGGGGGGGAAGAAGACAGGACCTTGTAAGCCCAGATCCTGGATCCACTCTGTCCCCTCTGCTTGGGGACAAGGCTGTTCCCTTACTCAGAGTCAGGAGCCAGTAGTTCTCGAGGGTGGGCCCCAGAGCAGCCGCAGAGGTCACAGCATTTATGTCTTTGTCAGACATTCAATTTTCAGAGCCCACCTCAGAACTACTGGATTGGGAATGCTGGGGTTAGGACCAGCCATCTGCATTTTAACCAGCCCTCCCTGTGACCGTCATATCCTCCCAAATCTGAAAACCACCTTTCAAAGTCTGCCCAAAAGCATGTGGGAAAGACCTTGGAAATACAACCCAGACTGATTTAAAATGAAGATGAAACAAGAATCCAAACCCATGGCCCCTCACGATAAAAGGCCCAAGATCAATGAAACACCCCCCCATCCTCTACCAAACCCTTCAACAGGCAATTAAATGAACTCAGCACATTCATTTTAAATGTGCAAAATGAATTTTCATATCCTAAGAGTAACACCAGATGTTTTGCCTCTTTTTCCTAATTGATTTTCCAGCCTACAGCAATCCGTCTTTATATTTTCCACTTGAATCCTAATGCAGCAAGAAAAGTATGTTCCGGCAGGATTATTAAATGCCATGCATTTAAAAACAAACCTAACTCAGGCGGCCATGCGTCATCTGGGTTGTTGTAGTCCCAAAATATTATTTAAAGAAGGGGGAAAAAAAAAGATAGAGGTCGCAGGCAAGATTTGGGCAGGCAAGAACCAAAATAAGACCCCGGGGGGCTGGTTTCAGACAACCTCAACTCTTCTCCAGAATTTGCTAGTTCTTGGTGTCAAGGATGTACTGGCCACAAAGCCTGCAAATTTACATGGGAAGTTTTCTCTTTAAAACAAAGAAGTCAGTTCCGTGCTGAAACCAAGTGGATCTGGGAGCCTGAGGAAAGGGGGTTGATCCGATAAACCAGACCCCATGGTCCCCTCTCTCTGCCCTTCTAGCGAAGCCCAGAAAATTTGTTTCTACTGGCCAGAGGGCCCAGCTGAGCTGGAGCGCCCCCATCCTTCCACCCCCGCTTTCTTCTGTTTAAGTGGGTGAAAGGTCACCCTCCAAGGATTTCCTCACTCCACAAAAACCCTTGGGAGCCTGGGGGAAGGCAAGAAAGAGAAGCCCCAAGCTTGAAAGCACCCGACTTCAAACGGAGGCCCTACTCCTACTCCGGTTCTGCCCTGGGGCATCGGGGGAGGGGTGGAGGGAGACCAGTTCAGCTGCTGGAAAGCCAGAAAGTGCTGATTCCAAAAACAAACGCCCCACTTCTTTAGGTAGTCGGGAGAAGTTGGCTCTGTCAGCTACCTTCCTTAGAAGCTGCTGGGAGCTCGTGGCTTTGAGCCACATGTCTGCTGCAGGATTTTAATGTGGTCTCCGACCCCACTGCCTGTCTGATTCTGAGACCCGCTACAGCCAGCTGTGTCTGAAATCCAAGAGTCCAAGCCCTAAAACGTTCTAGGTGGTGGGACTGGAGCGGTAGTCCAGCGGATGGGGCGGTGGCCTTGCACGCAGTCCTCCCAGGAGCACCACCAGGAGCAATTCCTGAGCACAGAGCCAGGAGTTAGCCCTGAACAGCACTGGGTGTGACCCCTTCTCCCCGCAAAAAAAAAGAAAAACCTTAGTATGTGGCTCCTCCAACTTAAATACCCCTCCCCCTCCCCCAGCATCCTGTGTTCTGTCCGTTTGGGGGCCATTAGAACAAAGCATTCTAATTTCCTTGGGAAGGGATCCACATTTAAAGGCAAGTTCAAGAATAGAAGAATCAGCTCCTGATTTGGCCTCCCCCACACTCCCACTCACAGCTCCAGCCCATAGTCTCACGGGATTCTTACCATCCTCCAAGGGATCTGAAGGGACTGTAGCAATCAGTCTTCCAGACTGGTAAGCCCCACGTGGTGATGAACCAACCATCCAAAAAAAAACATCACCTGAACTTAAAAATGCTCAGGTGGTTGACAACTTTTCAACCTTCTGAGACAAGGAAACAAAGGCCCCCTAAGAATGACCTACACCTGGGGTTCCGACATCCTCTGTAACACATGTCAAGTCAAAGGCCTGCCTGGAGAACCTCACATCTCCCTCAGGGCTGGGAGCAACAAACTTAAGACTGAAGGGTTAAAAACGGGGGGGGGGGGGGGGGGGGGCCTGCAACTAGCTAGCTTCCCGTTGCCCCAAACTCACCCAACTTTATTTACCCACTATTAAACCACAGGAGGCATCTTATAAATGTCATCATCATAGTCTTTTAATATTTTACATAAAAAACTGTATACACAGCTTATAGAACTTTTATGTAAACATCATAAGCTTCACCACTTTGCCATTTGTCAGTTTATTTAAAAAATGAAAAAAACAAGACAATTTAGTAGAAGTACCACTGGGCGGGGAAGGGTGCAGGGAAAGAGACGGGCAGGTTCGTTCTCTGTACAGAGATGCAGAGAAAATGTCACAGAACAGAGATTGCCTTGGGGAAGGGGAAAAAAGGTGGAGGGGGGGAGGATTTAAATATGTCTTAATACTCTTACTGCCCTTTATCAAAATAGTGCACATACCTGCACAAATAAAATAGCCAAAACTGTGTCTCCACGGTTTTCAAGAAAACAAAAACAATTAGTGGTTTCTTTTTCCATTTTTTTAAGTCATGATCATTATTTTAAAAACATCAGAAGTAGATGAGGTTACAGCGTACAAATGTGGCCAGAATGCTACTGTCTTATGCAAATGACAAGTGCATTAAGTGTCAAACAATGAAACAATTGTGCAAAGTCTTTCCCCCACAAAAAAAAAAAGTTTCAGCCTTTAAATAAAGCAAACAGCATCCGTTTCTTGGACTGAACCATTTTCACTGGTGGGACAGGCACAGGGTTTCGCTTATGGCAAAAACCACCCCGGCGCGCGCACTCCCTCCTGGAGGCTGAGGGGGGGGGGTCGCGGGGCTGGCCGACCCTCCGCGGTGGCGGGGCTGGAAACTGTGTCCACTCAAGAGTCAGGGGCCCCTCCCCGAAAAGCCTTCCCCGGGGATTTGGAAAAAAGATGGCCAAGTTGTGTTCATGCTTGGATGGGCGCCTGCCCCAGGCCGGGCCGGAGCGGTTCTAAAAAGCCCTGTCCCTCGGCCCCCCACCACCATTCAATAACACCGTCCTGCCTCCGAAAATAAAATTTCCTCTATATTTATAGAACACCCCTTCCTCCCCAGCCCTCCCCTCCCGCAGTTCCCGCGGTCTATGTTACAGACAAGGGGTTAGCAGGCGCTGGCTGTTTCGGGGCGAGCATCTGATGGGGCGCGGCCTACGCCCGGGCTGAGTCTCCGGGGACCAGAGGCGGCGGGGGGTGGGGTGGAAACGGGGAAGGGATGGAGTGGAGGGATGGGGAGGGAAGAAACGGTCGAACAGACACACAACCACACGCTCCGAAGAGCCTTGGCTCTTCCGACAGGGGTGCTCGGAAGGGGAGGAACCCTTGGCACACGGCGGGGCGCCCCGGGCCTGTGCCACACAGCCAGCCGGACGCACAAGACTGCAAGGAGGGCCGCGCCCGGGGGGCCTCCCACGCCGGTTCCTGGCGCCAGATCGCGGTGGGCGCGCCGGCAAGGCGGATGCCAGGCAGTCCGGTGGGGTGCTCGGAGGCGGGCGCGCTGGGTGTGTGTGGGGTGTGTGTGTGTGTGTGGGTGGGTGGAGGGGGGGACCCCCTTCTCCGGGCAGGCGGGGCGGCGGGCGCAGCCCTCATAGCACCTTGCAGCAGTTGATGCAGCCGTTCTGGGAGCCGTACCGCTTCTGCAGCGCGGCGCGCGTGGCCGTCTCGAAGACCTCGCGCACGCCCTCCTTGGTCTTGGCCGAGCACTCGAGGTAGTCGTAGGCTTGGATGCGCACGGCCATGGCGCGGCCGTCGTCCGTGCGCACGGGTTCCTGCTTCATGCGGGCCAGCTCGGTGCGGACGTGCTCGTCGCTGCGCAGGTCCTTCTTGTTGGCCACCAGGATGATGGGCACGTTGGGGCAGAAGTGCTTCACCTCGGGCACCCACTTCTCGGGGATGTTCTCCAGCGAATCCGGGCTGTCCACCGAGAAGCACATGAGGATCACGTCGGTGTCCGGGTAGGAGAGCGGCCGCAGGCGATCGTAGTCCTCCTGGCCCGCCGTGTCCCACAGGGCCAGCTCCACCTGCTTGCCGTCCACCTCGATGTCGGCCACATAGTTCTCGAAGACGGTGGGCACGTACACCTCGGGGAACTCGTCCTTACTGAAGACGATCAGCAGGCACGTCTTGCCGCACGCGCCGTCGCCCACCACCACCAGCTTCTTGCGGATGGCCGCCATGAGCGCGCCGGGCCCGGGCACCAGGAGGGGGCCCGCGATGGCCTCGCTGCCGTCCCGCTCGCCGCCCACCGCTCACCTGGGGCCGCGCGCTCCGAGGAGGGGGGCGCGAGGGGCGCTAGCTGCAGCCGGGCCCCGCGGGGGCGCGCGCTCTCCGTGCGCTCGGGCAGCCGCGGCGGGGGCGCTCGGGGCGCGCGGGCATAGGGCGCTCGGGGCTCCTCCGCGCCGCCGGGGTGGGGGGTCGCCTTTGTGTGCTCGACGGCGGCTCCGAGGGCGGCGGGCTCGACCCAGCTCTCTCTCTCGCTCGCTCGCTCGCTCGCTCCCTCCCCGCTCTCTCTCGGGCCTCGCCGCTAGGACCCAGCAGCGCCCACGCCGGCAGCCCGACTGCGGTGGCAGATGCAGGCTGCGGCCCTAGCGCCCGCTATTTAAAGACTTGGGCCACTTTCTTAATATAGCCGCCCAATGGGAAGCCGGCCGGCTGAGCTCATCGTGCGCAGTCTGGCTCCGATTGGCCGACGCGGCGGCCCGGGGGCGGGGCCGCGCCTGCCTGATTGACAGCCCCGGCCGCGGGGCTGGGAGAGGCGGCGACTGGGGAGTCTGCGCGCGGCGCGGGCGCAGCGGGGCCGCGGCGGCAACCGGCTTCTCCCCCTGCCCCTCACCCCACCCGAGCCCACCCCGCCCTCCAATTCGCCGCAGTTTCTACGCTGGGGTCCGGGGGGCTTGGCACTGGGCTGGCGAGAGCCGATGGGGTCTGGGTGGGCTCGTGCCACCACTTGGCGAGTCCCCCGACTCAAAATTGCCCGGCTTCCCGCTTTCTTGCAAACTCCCAACGGGTGGTCGGACCCGTGGGGGGAAGGGCGGCATCTGGAATATCGTGTTGCTTTTTAAATGAACACACGCACACCCCCCACGCGTGTTTGTTTTTAAGCAAGGTTTTCTTTTTTTTTTTACCCCTTTCTCTTTTAGAAGTATACCCTTTCCGGTCCAATTGGAGCAAAGCCCCAACACACACACACACACACACACACACACACACACACACACACATGCACACCCTACGCTAAGCACTGGGGCAACCCTAGTTTTAAACTCTTGGGGTAAGAAGGTCGGTCGATGGCCCAGGTGGATTCAAGCTCTTCCCATCCCGCGGTTACCTTGCCCGCCCCCAGCCTGAGTCTAGGTGACTAAGGAGAGCCCGTGAAGGCTGAGACTAACTGCCTCCATCCTATCCATGGGTTGGAAGCTACCCCGGCAGAAAAAGGCAGCCGAGGTGAGATTTTGCATGATGAATTAGAATTCTGGTAATAATGCCAAAACTGTCTGACGAAGATAGTATAGTAGAATCCAAATGCCCCGCACTGACAACATAGGAGAGAGAGAAAAGGCAGGGATTGGGGTTAAGGGGTTACTTGTGATGGGGACTGTCTAATCAGTGCCTGGTGGAATGCTAGGTCCCTAATCTCCAGCATGCCGGTGCTGAGCTCTTCTAGCCCAGGATCCCTGCAGGAAAACACCTACTCCTGCAAGATCAAGTAGTTTCCACCAACAAAAGAGAAAGGAAGTGGGGGGAGCGGGAATGGTGGACAGGGACCCCCCCTAAGGAAGAGCTGCAGCAAACAGAACAGGTGGGACTCGGAACAGGGAATCCTTCCATGCAGCTGTACTTAATGGAGAAAGTTGAAACTCAGGTTCAGGCTGTCTCGAAAAGGCATGGCTGGCCTAGGCTCATTGCTGGGGCAGAGGGATGCTTCAGCAAGGGGAGACCTACCCCAACTTAAGGATATGATACAGCCTCTTTTGGTAAGACTGGAAGCTGGTGGAGGGCCCGCCTGCATCTTATCTCTCTGTTTAATGACCTGGTACTATACCTAGGCAGGAAATGGCTGTGAGGAATTAACCTAAATTGATCTCAGGAACAGAGGTGGAATTTGAGGGACTGGTCTCTTATCTCAGACTCCACTTTAGCAATCATTCAACCTACTCAGGGCTGCCCCTTGTCACTCAGCTGGTTTTTCTTCACTTCTAGTTCCCCTGCTGAGACCCAGGAACACTGGACACCCTATATGGGTATAGGAACCCCACAGATGCATTAGGTCAAAGAGACATCCACAATTCCCCTCACGAGTCTTAACTCCACTGCAGTGCCCAGCTGTTTTGTTTTGCTTTGTTGTCATTGTTTTTTGAGATTTCAAGGACACTGTCAACAAGTAAATTATTTATTTTTCCATAGCAGGAGCTTATGGAATAAAAAAAAAATACCTTTTTTTTTTTTGGTCCTTGACTCCACACTCCCATCTGGAATTTTTTCCTTATCTGAATTTTTCTCCTTTTAGTCAAAACCTTTTATAGCTGTATTGTTAGCACTGCTTTTCCTTGGTCTTAATATAGATAGGGGATCTTGGCTATGTCCCTAAGCTTCAAATATTAATACCAAAGCAACAGAAACTTTGTACCATGTTTTTATTTTTTTTTTAACCGAAACACAAAGGACCAGGAAAAGGGAAACCGTTCATTCATTTCCTGATTCTCAGACATATTATTTGAGGCATTCAAGACTGCATCTCAGTACTGCAGCAATTTCTAAAACTATTGCGTTAGTAAATATGCCAACGTAAACAAAGAGAAACAGCCAAGCTCTCGGAACTCCGTTAACTGGGACTCACTACCGGTTTGTCTGCAGTTTGACTACCTCCAGGATGCTTCAAAGGCTGCGTCATTCTCAGGATAAAGTTTACCAAACTAGGGGATGTGCCAATCTCCCCCCTGATGCCCCTACATCTTGAGCACACTCTCCTACCCATAGGCAGAACATTCAAAACCAATAACTGATCGATTACTAAGTAATGCCAAGAGTCCACTTTAGCATTGCCTAGATCTGGTGACAAACCCGCACCAGTGAGAAAAGGAAATTATTTCTCAGGAAAAAGAATGTTATTCTCTCGCCAATCTTCAGTTTAATTTATCTGGTCTTTTTTGTCCAGTTTCTCCTGTAGATTTTCCTAACTCACCCTTGAATTCATAGACAAACCCTAGACCTGAATGTTTATTAGATTTTAGTGCCCCCTTGTGGCAATCTTTACAGTTCCTTTTCTTTAAACTACATATAATATCCAATAGGATATCAATTGTGTAAACTATTATAAAATAATTATACATCGACATACATCTATGTGTTATTTATTCAAAAATCATGCATTTTTGTGTTAAAATCTTGAAATATTGGGGCTGGAGAGATAGTACAGCGCCTTGTATGTGGCTGACCGAGATTCCTTCTCCAGCATCCCAAATCCCAGGAGTGATTCCTGAGTGCAGAGCCAAGAGTAACCCCTGATTGTTGCTGGCGTAGCCCAAAGCCCAAAAAATAAAATAAAATCTTAAAATATCAAGATATTTTTTGCTTTAAGATCTTAAAATATCTTAGGATATTTTGGATTCAAGCTATATCTTAAAATATCTCATAATGGGGCTGGAGCAATAGCACCGCGGGTAGGGCGTTTGTCTTGCATGCGACCAACCCAGGTTCGATTTCCAGCATCCCATATGGTCCCCTAAGCACCGCCAGGAGTGATTCCTGAGCGCAGAGCCAGGAGTAATTCCGGTGCATCGCTGTGTGTAACCCAAAAACCAAACAAATAAAAAAATATCTCATAACATTTTTATCTGGGGTCTTTGGAGTGGTTGTCTGGAAGTGTCTCAGCAGTACAGCACACATCTTGTACACATAAGACCTGAATTGATCCCCAGCACCACAAAAAGAAAATACATGTTTTAGGGGACAGAATATAGTGGGTAAGTGGGTATAACGGGTAAGAGCACCAGTGGAATGACCCCTGAGTCTAGAGCCAGGAATAAGACTGAGCACATTTGGGTGTGGTCCAAAAGCCAAAATAAGAGGAACCCAGTCTTTTTCATGCGTAAGCAGAATCTTCACCAGTGAGCCACACCCCCAGAGCCAGAACATAATGTTGAGAATACAGTGATCCAAGTGGGCAAAATTAATAAAGAAAAAAAGCACTTTCAATTTAATTCTACTTTTTTCCCCTTTGGGCTTTTTGGGTCACACCTGGTGATGCTCAGATGTTACTTCTGGATCTGCACTCAGGTGGTGCTTGGAGGACCTTATGGGATGCTGGGGATCGAAACTGGGCCAGTCATGTGCAAGGCAAATGCCCTATCTGACGTACTGTCACTCTGGACTCAGTTTTACTTTTGAAGATCCTCTTTTATTTGACTTTCTTAGACTGAAGTCCAGAAGATGAAATAGTGTAAGGATGGAACCCAGGAACATGTCACACATTCTCACAGCTGAGAAGGAGTTAGCCCTCAGCAGGAAGGGAGGTGTTACCCCTAAATTCAGACCAGAAAGCGGTTACACCAATCCCTGCCTTAAAACAAATCACCAATCTTAAAAGAAAATGACCTAATCAAAGTATTTGTACTGGGATGATTCACTTACTGTGTTCTCTTCTGATGTCAGGATTTTGCAATAGGGAGGAGCTGAATTCACAATGGTTTTCCACTCCCTAACCATGAAGATTCATTTGGTTATTTTTAGCACTAGATGAAGCCCAGAATTTTGAACCCAGGTCTTTGGGAAGGGGAATTGAACTCAGCGTGTGGAAGTTAGAGGGACTGACTCTTAACCATTTTGGGGTAGTAAACTTCCCAGAGAAGATTTATTATTCTTCCAATTCTGGGACTAGAGATGTAGTCCAGGAGTAAGGTGCTTGCCTTACAAGCAGATGACCTGCGTTCAATCCCCGGAACCATATACGGTCCCCTGGATACCATCAGGAGTGATCACTGAGCTCAGAGCCAAGAGTCAACCCAGAGCACAGCTAGTTGCGACACAAAACAAAGCAAAATAAAACAAAAGCAAAGCAATTCTGGGGGTTCCTCTGTCTTTTCTGGACTTACTAAGAAATAGCAATAGTTACTTATATAACTATAAGTAATAAGTTAGTAGTTAATAATAAGTTAATGTTCCTTACAATCTGGTCAGTTTCAGCCAGAGGGATGGCTGAGCAGGTTACAGAGGATCTTCTGCGCATGTACGGAAGTTGGTGCTGGCTGTTGTCCAGGCCACCTGCATTGCACCCACTTGGTCTTTCACCCTCCAACCTGGCTTGGGCTCCCATCGATGGTCTTCCTGGGCAGCCTGGGTTGCCCCAGAGAGCAGAAGCAGTTGTGAGGAGTATTCCTGTGGGCAAAGTCTAGAACTCAAAGAGCTTCACTTCCACTCAAG